GGGGGGGGGGGGGGCACTGCCCCCTCTGCCCCCACCCGTCCCTTATGTCAGTGATGGTCGGATGGTCTAACACGACAAAGGCGTCTAGTCGTTTTGATAGGCCATAGGCTTCCTCAACCGATCCTTTGACAGTTGGAAATAAAATAAGACTACGCTAATGCCGCTGTCCTTGCAAAATTTCCCTCATTGCACACTTTACGACGTCGCATGTCTTTATTACTCCAATGAGGTACAAGTAGGACGTATTCCAGTTTTTCGTTCAGATGTTTGTCATTTTCTATTTATTGTAAAAAAACACCCCTCTTTTCGGTCTCTTTAATTCTGGCACATTACTACATAGTACCACTAAATACTTTCCAAATGATGTATGGTTATAGTCGATCACATTAGTAGACAAATGGCAAATTCATTTTCTAGGCATGTTATATTTACAGATTTTGTTATTGTTGTGCAGCTAATTCTGATTCCCTTCCAATAAAAAATATAAGTACAAAGTTAGAATTTAAAAACCATTAGCAGAAAGAGAACGTTCATAAACTGAATATCACAATTATAGTATTACAATTTATAGCAATCACTTTCTGTGTGACCCCTGCATCTCAAAATTTTGTCTTTAGCGGATTTTACAATTTTTAATTGCCCTTGTCAACCTTTAGGACCTTTGAGGTATGGTTTCGGTGACTGTATTTACCTTGCTATACCCTTTCCAGCCATTGGGAGTGCACATAATGCACAAAATCAATTCATTTTTTCTAAATATCTTCTTGAGAGAACCCTCTAAGACGCTCTATGAGAGGCTTGCGACGATGACACCACAACAGAGTAGCCAAAATTTGAGTCAGTCTGCCCTCTATTTGTACCCCCTGTCTCTGAAGGCTGGTGCCGCCATTGAATTTTCATATGTGATACTTTTTAATAACGGTTCTATTGGTACTAGGGTTTTACTTGTTAATGATGTTTGATTCATTACCAGTCAAGACACTATTTGCTTGTTTGTTGTGTATGTTAAGCAGCTATGACGAGTGTGGCACCTGGCAAGGTATGCTTACTCTTCTAGACACCTGATACCACTTTTCATTATGAAATATTTACTCACTTATGATTGATATACTTCCTCATGTGAAAAGTTCATTAGCTACTAGCAATGTATTGCCAATATGTTTAGTTTTGCAGTTCGGATCGTTACTTGATTTATTTATTCAATAAGATGATCTCTTGCCAACCAATTCCATAGATTACAACTTCGCTTCTTTTTTCTAATATATTTTATCTCCATTGTAATCTAACAAGTTTTCCACTGCAGACCTAAATTCCAATGTCTCTGGGAAAGGATGTTATCTTCACACCAGCTGCTCTATCTCAAATTTGAGGGTATATTGACTTCTGTTGTGCCCCAATTCCTGCCCCGGGGGTGACCTATATTTTACAGATGTTCTGTAATAACATTCTTATCTTTCGAGAAGATAACAGATATCAAATATAAAGATATTTACTAGAAACAGTGTCCTACTTTTAAATGATGCAATGATGTTTGGTCGGTAGATGACAAGTTAACGTTCGCTTCTAGCAGAAGCTGGTATCGCAGACTATGTAATACAATGACAAAGTCCACTCTCTTTCGCCCCTTTGCTTTATGTGATGTTTGGCCAATAAAGTGTATAGATTCCTAACAGCCCCTCATCCCTGTTTTCTTAATTTAGACATGTGAAGATGATATCTCTCATGTTTTTATCCATTCATGTTCCTCATTTGTTTCCAATGCTCGCCATTTGTCTCCAGTGTTCATCATTTATCTCCAGTGTTTATCATTTTTCTCCAGTGTTCATCATTTGTCTCCAATGTTCACCATTTGTCTCCAGTGTTTATCATTTGTTTCCAATGCTCGCCATTTGTCTCTAATGTTTATCATTTGTCTCCAGTGTTTATCATTTGTCTCCAGTGTTCATCATTTGTCTCCAGTGTTCACCATTTGTCTCCAATGTTCATAATTTGTCTCCAATGTTGATCATTTGTCTTCAGTGTTCATCATTTATCTCCAGTGTTCACCATTTGTCTCCAATGTTCACCATTTGTCTCCAGTGTTCATCATTTATCTCCAGTGTTTATCATTTGTCTCCAATGTTTATCATTTGTCCCCAATGTTCATCATTTGTCTCCAATGTTCATCATTTGTCTCCAATGTTTATCATTTGTCCCCAATGTTTATCATTTGTCTCCAGTGTTTATCATTTGTCCCCAATGTTCACCATTTGTCTCCAATGTTTATCATTTGTCCCCAATGTTTATCATTTGTCCCCAATGTTCATCATTTGTCTCCAATGTTCATCATTTGTCTTCAGTGTTTATCATTTGTCTCCAATGTTCACCATTTGTCTTCAGTGTTTATCATTTGTCTCCAATGTTCACCATTTGTCCCCAATGTTCATCATTTGTCTTCAGTGTTTATCATTTGTCTCCAATGTTCACCATTTGTCTCCAATGTTTATCATTTGTCCCCAATGTTTATCATTTGTCCCCAATGTTCATCATTTGTCTTCAGTGTTTATCATTTGTCTCCAATGTTCACCATTTGTCTCCAATGTTTATCATTTGTCCCCAATGTTCATCATTTGTCTCCAGTGTTTATCATTTGTCCCCAATGTTCATCATTTGTCTCCAATGTTCACCATTTGTCTCCAATGTTCACCATTTGTCTCCAATGTTTATCATTTGTCTCCAGTGTTTATCATTTGTCTCCAGTGTTCATCATTTGTCTCCAGTGTTCACCATTTGTCTCCAATGTTCACCATTTGTCTCCAATGTTCATCATTTGTCTCCAGTGTTCACCAATTGTCTCCAATGTTTATCATTTGTCTCCAGTGTTTATCATTTGTCTCCAGTGTTCACCATTTGTTTCCAATGTTCACCATTTGTCTCCAATGTTCATCATTTGTCTCCAGTATTCACCATTTGTCTCCAATGTTCCCCATTTGTCTCCAGTGTTCATAATTTTTCTCCAATGTTCACCATATGTCTCCAATATTTATCATTTGTCTCCAATGTTCCCAATTTGTCAGTCCAATATTCATCATTTGTCTCCAATGTTCCCCATTGGCCTTTGTGATGTTCGCTCGTTCCCACAAAACCAGGTATCCAGGTTGTTCGTTATGCTTACGACATGGTGCACCGACTCACAGGTAACGGAAGAATGCCCGGTATCTGAGGATTTTTCCATAAAACATATATCTCTGATCTGTCGGTTATTAAAATACATACAACAATGACAGTCATAAATACATACATAGTAAGTATTTAGGTGAGATGCGTACATGTCTCTTTACAGACGATCTTATCTTATTTTTATTACCAGTGGTATAGTACATATGGCAGCAACACATTCCGATAGCATCGCAAACACAAATACAGATGAACTACATTCTGTACACAGAAAACTATCAATGTACAAGCACAATCTGCTAGCTAGTTCGGCACCAGACGACATACCCGTAGGTGATTCCGCGATACAATGGCTGTGATACGGTATGTATCGCGACACAATGGCTGTGATACTGTATGTATCGCGATACAATGGCTGTGATACGGTATATATCGCGATACAATGGCTGTGATACGGTATATATCGTGATACAATGGCTGTGATACGGTATGTATCAAGTTACAATGGCCGTGATACGGTATGTATCGCGATACAATGGCTGTGATACGATAGGTATCAAGTTACAATGGCCGTGATGCGGTATGTATGGCAAATTATTACCTGCGATACGACATGTATAAAGATACAATGGCTGCAATTCAATATGTATCACGATACAATGAATGCGATGTAATATGTATCAAAATACAACGGCTGTGATACGATATGTATCACGATACAATGACTGCGATACTATATGCATCACGATACAATGATGGCGATGTAATATGTATCACGATGCAATGGCTGTTATACGATATGTATCACGATACAATGACTGGGATCTAATATGTATCACGGTACAATGCGATATGTATCCCAAATAATTACCTTCGGTACGATAGGTACCACGATATAAAGGCTACAATGTAATATGTATCACGATACAATGGCCGTGATGCGATTTGTATCGCAAATTATTACCTGTGATACGATATGTATCGAGATACAATTGCTTCGACACGATGGCTGTTTTGCAATTGCAATCCAATGGTCGCAAGGGGATTTGATATGATACCTTACATACATATCTACAATGCCTGTGGACTTCATTATCTAAATTATATCTTTTTAAACTAAAAAAATATCCGAAACATCTGAGACATGGATGCCTAGTGAACAAACTGAGTTGCAGATCGGCACCAGGTGAGCATCACTTCTCTCCGATCCGTATCGTGATAACAAAAAAAAGCTAGTGGTGGATGTGTTTCTATAGTGTTTCTACGTCCGGCATCAACCTAGCTAAGAAATTAAGTCACAATGCTTAAAGAGAGAGAATGACGAGCCTCACCAGCGACATACGCCATGTCATCATATAATGTACAAAAACAAAAAAGAAAATTGTTTATGATATCTCAGAATGATAATGGCTTGCCTCGCTAGAGACACCAAACATGTCATTTCATCATTTCTGGCTATAAAAGAGATGTCGAGTTATCAAATCACAATGTGTCACTATCAACACCACCAAGCTACCAACCATATCTGACTTGTGTCCCATTCATGAGTAAGCATACCCCGTCTCTGCCTGGCCAGCAACACACGCTACAGTATACTCCAGTTTCCGTGAATACATAAATCGCCCAAACACATTATTATAATCTCCATTAGGACATAGAAGGTAGTTAGTTATAAAAAAAAAACTCTACAAAAACAGAGACTAGGGCTGAACAATTGTAATCTCTATTAAAAAATTAAAGTGAAATAAATTGAATGAAACATACCTACTGACTTTCCTAGTATAAGTCCAGATCTGTGCCGACCACTCGAACCTGTCCAAACAAGCATTATCAATATGCTTAATACCCGTATCACACGCTTCACGTGCACAGCCATAGAAACTTCATGCGCGTCGGAATATCATGTTTACGTCCTCATGTGCAGTACCATCACATATTCCAACCGTACGTAACACCATGTCAATTTAGTAACAATAACAGGCTGATTGTACGGTAGTAAAAATTGAAAGTTAGAATACTATAATCTCTTACTCAAGTCTATGTTACTATCGGTTAACGCTGTGATACTCACTTATACAAACCCAATGAAATACTAAGAGTAAAAGAAGTGAGTAACTTGGTATGGACGTGAGCCGATCATGGTCGGTACACTGGCTGCAACAAACCAATAAGAACACATTCTTTCTTCATAATTCAAAATTCTTTCCATTCACAGGATAGATAAATATTCTTCCCACTTGAGAATTGGGTAATGTATTCAATGAAGTCATTCGAGAATCGTCAAGGTAGAAATAGAGGAGGTACGGTATCCGATTCACTGTATGGTTTATCATTTGCAGGATGATACTTATTAAAATGGAATTTGCCATATCCCGTTAACAATAACAGATAAAAATGTTTCCACTGTTGAAACAATGCTGAATTTGTTAATGACAGAGTTATAGAGTGATATAGAAATGTTTTTTCTTTCATGTCATTTGTACCACACAGCTATCTGATTAACCTTTTACTACCGACACCGCCCCCTTTCTTAACTCAAATTTAGAAGGTGTAGGCCCAACAATAGGTGTAGGCTGAGTCTTGACATGCACACCCAAAAACATTACGGTGGTCCAAACTGTTGACGTAATCACTCGAGGTATTATACTGTGAGTCAGTTTTTACGTGATAAGTGACATTGTACAGTAGAAAACAACCGTAAACCTACGATTTCACAGGTCCTATAATCTGCAAGTTTAATTTTATCTGTCTAATATTAGAGGATAGGTAAGTGTCAGCAAGTTTGAGACTAGTATAATAACTACGAGAGTCCATAATGAAAGTGTCAGCAAGTTTAAGAATAGTATCATATCTACCAGAGTCCATAATGAAAGTGTCAGCAAGATTTAGACTAGTATAATAACTACTAGAGTCCATAATGAAAGTGTCAGCAAGTTTAAGACTAGTATAGTAACTACGAGAGTTCATAATGAAAGTGTCAGCAAGTTTATGACTAGTATAATAACTACGAGAGTTCATAATGAAAGTGTCAGCAAGTTTATGACAAGTATAATAACTACGAGAGTCCATAATGAAAGTGTCAGCAAGTTTATGACTAGTATAATAACTACGAGAGTCCATAATGAAAGTGTCAGCAAGTTTAAGACTAGTATGATACTACCAGAGTCCATGTAAAAGTGTCAATAAGTTTAAGAGTAATATAATAACTACGAGAGTCCATAATGAAAGTGTCAGCAAGTTTATGACTAGTATAATAACTACGAGAGTCCATAATGAAAGTGTCAGCAAGTTTAAGACTAGTATGATACTACCAGAGTCCATGTAAAAGTGTCAATAAGTTTAAGAGTAGTATAATAGCTACGAGAGTCCATTATGAAAGTGTCAGCAAGTTTATGACTAGTATAATAACTACGAGAGTTCATAATGAAAGTGTCAGCAAGTTTATGACTAGTATAATAACTACGAGAGTCCATAATGAAAGTGTCAGCAAGTTTATGACTAGTATAATAACTACGAGAGTCCATAATGAAAGTGTCAGCAAGTTTAAGACTAGTACAATAACTACCAGAGTCCATAATGAAAGTGTCAGCAAGTTTAAGACTAGTATAATAACTACGGGTGTTCATAATGAAAGTGTCAGCAAGTTTAAGAATAGTATCATATCTACCAGAGAATAGTATCATATCTACCAGAGTCCATAATGAAAGTGTTAGCAAGTTTAAGAGTAGTATAATAACTACGAGAGTCCATAATGAAAGTGTCAGCAAGTTTAAGAACAGTATGATAACTACGAGAGTCCATAATGAAAGTGTCAGCAAGTTCATGACTAGTATAATAACGAAGAGAGTCCATAATGAACGTGTCAGCAAGTTTAAGACTAGTATAGTAACTACGAGAGTACATGTAAAAGTGTCAGCAAGTTTAAGACTAGTATAATATCTAAGAGAGTCCATAATGATCTTGTCAGCAAGTTTATGACTTTTATAATAACTACGAGTGTCCATAATGAACGTGTCAGCAAGTTCAGTGAACACCCAAAACGTTTGCCTGCATCACAGCCCTCCCCCGTTTCGACCTTTCTGCTATTTCGCAATGTTTTAAATATCTTTTAAATATATAAAGAGATACGGCCTAGATTAGCCTCTGAATTAGACTATTTTATTTGAATTGAAAGGGAAATGAGAAGCTAGTTAAATCTAAATTTACACTATTCCCAGCTTTTATAGTAACTCTGGTCGTTTCATCTCGGATATCAAAGAAGTTGAAATGGCGGAAAAGGAGAGGTAATGACGGGTTTTACGCCACGTCGTTTTTATACCACTTCTAGCAATTGATAAGTTTAATATCCAATTCCACAAAACTGATCATAAATCTTTCTTTAACTCGTACTTTTCATCAATCTGATTAAACTGTAGATCTAGATGTTTGGTTTCCTGTTTTTTCTGTGAGGTTTTCATTTGTTAGCAGTAATCTGAAAAAAATACTTTTTTTCTGTGGATTACTACGCTCAGTAGTATCAATATTTTATAATGAAGTATATAATGCAATTTGGTTATAATGCAGATCTTGAGGTATTGTTTCCTGTATTTTCTTTGGGTTTCCATTTGTGATCATCGATCCGACGATATTCTCCTATATTTCATGTTCAGTTTTAGCCAAATTTAGTTCAAAGTTTATTGCATAGTTTTGTGTGTTTTTGGGGGTTTACAACGCTCATCATTTATGATCCGACAAAACCCTTCCTTAAATGGTGTTCAGTCGAATATAGACCCAATAGCTTGGAAAGTTATCACATGTGCTAAACCAAAAGTACTTTAAAAGTCACTGTTTAAACAATAAATATCCCAGAATTCCAATTATCTACACAGCAATTTACTTCCTTGAACAATGAACATGGCATTTGATTGGTTGATTCGCTGTTTACTTAAATGGTGCTTTTTTCTTTAATCCTCGCCCGGCGACAATCCATCGAAATCACTATCGGAGTCTGTAGATAGAGTCAGGGTTTTTCGGACTATGAAATTGAATTCAGAAAGCCCTGCTGACTATGACTGCTCATTTGACTACATGTAATTTCCCTTTAAACATTTTATAAAATGATAGGAAACAAGCCCAATTATATCATTTTTTATAATCAGACTTCCTAGTAAATTTGATTAGGTCTTGTTTGACAATAATCTGCTAATAGAGTTACATATTGATTAAAATTACACCAATTTTATATAATTCTTCATCATAATAGCTTACCACCCACGATCTTCCAACAAAATATCATATGATTGAATCTAGGTTCCGGATTAGAAGGTACATTTCCACGTTCGGAAACACAGTTCTAAAATAATTATCAATCCGACATGCCTTCTTTTCATTAACGCCTAAAGGGATTAAAGTTGCTTATAAATGAACTAATATCGCGTACAGGGGTATTTAGGAGGGGGGGGGGGGGGGTGTACTCGGAGGAAAAAAAATTGTTTCCCCTGACCCCCGACGGCGACTAGTACCCCTAAAACTAGAACAGCTGAAATCCTGGCTACCCCACTGGCGTCCCGCAACAGATTCGGCTTCACGAAAACTGTCGGAAGTTATCTAATGATTGTATTAGATATGTGGATTCTCTGGCAGATTTTTTCATTGCCGAGTTGACAAACTCAAATCAGCTTTATAAGCTTTCTGACAGTAATATATCGAGTTACATAAACATGTAGGACATGTGTACTTTCTGAAAGCAACTGAAGAACTATTTCTGCACTTTAAAGGGACGGGTAGGCCATTTTTTGACCAATCATATACTTTAGGTTCAGAAACTTTTTTTTAGCTGAGCTCATCAGTAATAGTGTTCAAATCTCTCCGACGAAATTTGAGCCTTCAAATCCCCGTGTGTCCAGAATTATCTGCTTCTGAATGTTAAAATGACGACTCGTCAATTCAAGGTATTTTGTGATACATAGAAAAGACATATATAGAAATAATGAGTAAAATTCCTAGCTTGAAGTATTTTTAAAGAAATTAGATTTTTGTACATTTCTAGTACGATTTACAAATATTGAAGACTAAAATCAACCCACCAAAATGGCAGAACTGTCTCTTTAATTTATCTTTATGATCTTTATATATCTTTATACCAATAATAAAATAATCAGGGGTATTTGCCTTTTCAGTATCTCCCACTGAGTTCTTACATATCCCCCACCCACCTCCCCCATAAATTCTGCGGTCGATGTTCACTCCTTCCTCTTCCCATAGGAATGTTATTGTATCTTTAAGCTCCTAAACTAATACGATGTAAAGATAGTCTACGTGGAATCGTGGTTAATTGTTTTATATCATCTATTTTAGTTACATCCGACTTGTTTTTCTGCATGTTCAGATCAATTTCATTTTGATATGATATCTGACGGATATTTTCAGCTAGGACGTGTTCCATTCCGACGATTACTCGCCTCTCGTGTCAAAGTTTACACAGAAAATATCCTAGTCTGGGTTGTCGTGGGTGTGATTGGTTCTATTACTCTTCCTCTGTTATAAGATGGTAATCATTCATAATTCATCCATCATGACCCGGAAAATGACATACAAGAATCTTATTATACGTTTTGTAGAGTCTGTGAATGAAGGGGGAGGGTTGTAGCTCAAACCATTAGAATATTTAGGAACATCATGACGCCTGGTGACTTCCGAACATGCTAATTTGGATTGACTTGACTTTTCCTTGCAATTTATTCAAGCTTGAAGAAAGTAACAAGTTATCAAAAAAAAAAAACAACAAAAAACAACAAAACACAACAAAACACAAAAAAAACCAAAAAAAAAAAAACCTAGTCGTTGTGTGATACCGCAACTTTTGGAAATATACATAAAGTTAGCAGCACGCAACGATTTGCTCATGGACGTATGCGGCAACTGTTCTCAAAGGTCGACGAAACTAGCCTTGTCTCTCCCAATGATGGGTAAAAATTTCATCTTTCAGCGTTCTAATTGTGGGAATAAACAATGTAGGGTGCGGGGTTACCGATACAGTAGAAAAAAGTAGAAGTGAATCGTGCCCGCACCGTACACCGCACCGGACACCGCACTGGACATCATACATCATCTATTCCCACCTTTAACCTGATTTGGCCAGACAAACCCTTGTCATCTATTACAATGAGTAATAGACTTTACATTTTTCAAAGACTGGCTAAACTAGTCCATCGGTAATATATAACAATTAAATTACTTTTCAAAAGCGGTAGAACTGTCCAAGGTCTCCGATGTATTTTTTGGAAGTAACACTGGTACCTGTCATAATTCTGTATTGTTAACTTTGCTATTTAACAAATCATTATACACGATACGCTAACAATATCTCATAGAAATAACATGTTGCGTTAGGAACAGTATGTAATCACGTCATAATCGCCTAGCAGATGTTTTCAAAGAGCTTTGTATGTTTATACGTTCAGGCCACATGCCAAAACTCACAATTACTCTAAATGCATTAGACAGAAAATGTATCGGCTAAAACCATTATTTAAAGAATGTGTAATATTGGTCATGAAGTGAAGAGATAGTAGATTGTAGAAACAATGGTTTAAAAAGCCAGAATAAAGTGGTAAATGAATTGACACGTAGCATTACATTAGTTTGTGAAATCTCTCTCGGAATGCCATATTTTAACGTCAGTATAGAAACCACTCATCTCAAATTACGCAATATCAACTACTTCTCTTCTGACACGCTTTACTAGATACTTTTATCATCTGTTACCATTCTTCCGTTTCCTAAACATCTTTTACACATTCAATCAATCTGCTCTCTTTAACACTCAAGGTCATTCAACAGATTCCACTGTTCACGAACGTTTTCCAGGGTTCTTGAAGGATATAACCCTCGAGGTGGGGTAGCCTACACAGTAATCACGAATCCCGCTTTGTCATTCACATTTGCGACTATTGTGTTCCAGATTCTACTGTTCACAAACGTTTTCCATGAGTTTAAGAAGGATTTAACCCTCCAGTGGGGACGGGGACATGGGAGTGTCCTTGCTTTCGCCTGAACCGTCAGCACAGTTACCATAAAGTTGAGCTTTTCCATTCATACTTGTGACTCGGGATATTTTAAAAGTTGATCATAATTCCGAGAATACCATAACCTAACCCTGTGTTCTGTGGTGTTCTGGCATATATTCTAAGGGTGAGGTCGTGATAGATCTCCATTGTTTTGAGACGGTGGACTCTATTAAGTAATGGTAGGGTTTTTACGGGGATGTGACAATGCCTTGCAGCAGGTCTGTTAATTTTATCTGGGTCTACAGGGTTCTGAAAGCAACACCTTTGTTGATTCTGACAGTTGTTTTGTTTCTGACAAGAATGGACGCGATTTAGCAAGGTTCTGACATATCTCCAGCAAAACCATGATTTTCCCCTACCCCCATTTAATCATAGATGCCCCACCCCTTCATTTGAGGTTATCTTCGGCAGGTGCGTTCGTGCAGACTCTACTCTCTACTGCCCGGAAGATAATGAAATGGTAAAGAACACGAGAAATCTGTGTACTATGCCTTTATTCTCTGTGTAAATTCAGTAAACAAGAATGAAAATTTATAATAACTATAACAGAACAGTAAAAGGAACATTATAGAGATTCTAACGAGAGCTTTGTGACCAATACATGTGTCTCGAGCCGATTATAGATTCTAATATTCCAGTTTCGCTGCCGATGTCTGTAGTTCTTGTTGATAAAGAGAAACCCTTTGAGCTGTACTATACTATTACAGGAACCACAGATGTCGGAAGTAAAATAGAATGATATATAGCTTCCATTCTTTGCCCATTGTCCGTGATTCTAGTCTTGTGATTATACCATGGTTTGTGCGCTATCTATGACACGATCTGGTCACGTTTTTATAAAATCACAGGAACCACAAACGTCGGAAGGGAACTAAAATTTTAAGAAATTTTGATACAAATACACGAGCCCGAAAATTATTTTTTGAATCACTTTATCAAATTTCTTGTCGAGCTTTCTTACAATCTTAAAAAGTACAATCATATCTTTACAGCTTATATACCCGAACAGTAGATTCCGCCGCAGTATTCACAGGGGCATTCCGAACAAACCGAACAGAAATAATGTCCTGAACTTGCTGACTGTTACCAGCCTCTGAATGAAAGACAGTGATCGTGTATGATCAGAAAGACCCTAACTGCCAGTTATCGTTACCAGTGTCCGTCAAAGATTATTCAGGACCAGCAAGTCTATGAGAAATTATAGATACATGTAATTTTATACCCGTTACTTTCATTTATTCTATACATATACTCGGGAATTTCCCTTTTCGAATCTACAAAGAGCTATTGGTCAAATACATGCCCCGAATCCAGAAATACACTGTAAAATGTTTCAGTAAAATTGGTGACATTTTATCTGTTAATTAATAAAGATAGGTTTCATTAAAAAGTACGAAGTGGTGGACCTAAAAAAGGGTGCCGTCGACTGATAGAAGTCGATTTCAGATATTTGTATCAATTTTCAGATTGAAAACGTGACGTTCGCTCCGCCTACAATCAAATACAATGTCTCTACATCTGAAGCGACAGCATATTAACAAAATATCGATTGATTAAGGTTGATTTTAGAGGAAAGTAACTGTGGGTATATTGTTTCCATTTAAGACCATTTCAAGCACAGAAAAAAACATCATCTTAAGGCCTGAGGTACGCGAATTTCCTCGTCGCAACCTTTGAAGTTCCAGGTTGCAAAAACGCGACTCAAACATATAAATGACATAATCTAAGTAACATATAGTGAATATTATAGTAATAAACATCAGACGATTATAATCTGTAAATAAAAACAAAGCTAAATAGAAATATGAACATCTTAACGGTATAATAGTTTACATAGTAGGTCAAACATATTTATGCACGTGCAGGGAGTTTTCAAAACATAACCCTAAAGATTCACTTATTTATGAATGTCTTATTTATATCAATTGAAATTGTACACACTGATTTGAAATTCGTGGCTCCAATTATTCTACCCTTGAAAAAATAGACTTATCGTAAGGTTTGTAAACGTCCCTGCACGTGCATAAAGATCTTTGTTCTACAAAAATAATTTACTCCTTATACTTCTGATATATATGTGTAATTTTGGAAGCTGCCCTATATTGTGTCATTTTACTTCATTGTTCACTCGTTGAAACGAGTTAAACAGATTGCTACTCAATCTTTATCATTTCTTATTGGTCAATTAGTTTTTGTTTTTAAGCGATTTTAACCAATCCGATGTTACGTTGATTGGCAATAATCAAACGTTACTCCATTATCGTTTTTAAAAAAATATCTATAACCTAGAATATAGGGCTTGTTGTCGGAAACATCATAACTTTAACAAGATTGTAAATCGGTCTAATTGGCTGATTTTGAAGTAATCTTAATCAACCAATCAGATTTTCCTGTATTTTCTAGATACATAAACAAGTTATGGCATCTCAACATGTCCCACTCTAATGTACATTTTTGAAACGTCGTGTACAGTTTAAAAAGTTACATGTACAGTGTTCTAACTTCTTTTTCCAACCAGTGACGGCGCCATTCTCTCCCGAGACAAACACAGACTTAATGGGAGAGATTGGGGCATTGTCGAGGTAGAATTCAAACTGCCTCAGCTCCCCCGAAGCGCTATAGACGTAATCGCCTTATAAAGCGTCTGTGGGGATTTCCCAAGAAAATGTTTCAAAAAAAGAATTAACTTTGTGCCCTACAGCAAATATTTTTGGATAAAAACGTATTAAAATTTGTTAGACGCGAAGTGGCGCCACCACTAGTTCCGTCAGCCGATAAAGATCAATTTCAGCGCCATCTGTATCACTCTTCATAATCAAAACCACTTCTTGGTCGCAATAAATGTTTTACAGAATATGTTGGTGTACAGGAAATGAGCAGAAGAAAACTAAGAACTGTATATATCACCGGGGTTGTTTTAAATATTTGGCCATTTTAGCTCCTGGTAGAGTTTTTCAGTTCGTCTGTTTAGATTACAGTTTAAACCAAAAACACCACGAGCAGTCCTGAGAAACATTATACATGTAATACATTCACCAATGGGCGGCGGATGCTGAACGCAAACTTTCCGTTTATCCGTATCTCCTCCTTACATTGCGTCTACATTTCTTACGTTCGGCTTTCGGTCGCCGTTTTTTACACATTGCCAAATGAACATAATATTCAGCGCGATAGTTGCAACACTTTTGAAAGTTCTTCGGAAATGCTTTAGAGCATTTGGCAATTTTGTTTGACAAAGCTTTAGGATATCTTTTCTTTTTCTTGGCGAATTTCGTGAAAACCATCTTCACTTTGGTACGATTGAGTTTTCTGTTGATAGCATGCACACCAAGATGGCAGGACAGTCTTTTCTTCGCAGTTTTCTCTCCCAATTTACAGCAACTTGTGACCGAGGTCTTCCACTTGGGTTTACCGACAGCTCTGATTTTACCGGCGTGAGGATTGGGTTCATGACGCCAGGCTCCAGGTCCGAGTATTACTGAGTCCACTGAAAAGATAAATAGAAAATATCTTGAAGAAATATCAATAAAAACAGTGTGATCTAAGATTAACTACTAGTAGAAAAAGCACAATAATAGTTTTTTGAAAACGACATCCTGATTTGAATTTTAATCATTTTGGAAGCATTATTTCCGAAATTTTACAATGACCACTGATTTTATTTTGTTATCTGGACACCTGAATAACAATATCTGTCAGAAACTGGACAGGTAGTCAGCAATTTCCCACAGGCCCGTAGCTTAGGGAAGAGGAGGGGGGGGGGGAGCAATGCCTTTCTGAAAAAATGGATTGCCCCCTGAAAAACCGACCAATTCCATTACTCAACTAAACACCATACTGCATTGCCATTGCCCCTCTGGATACATTACTTGCCGCCCGGATATATTACTTGCCCGTCAGGAAATATCACTTGCCCGTCAGGAAATATTACTTGCCCCTTCGAATATATTACTTGCTTGTCCGGATATGTTACTTGCCCGTCCGGATATATTACTTGCCCGTCCGGATATATTCCTTTCCCGTCCGGATATATAACTTGCCTGTCCGGATATATTACTTGCCCGCCCAGATATATGATTTGCCCGTCCGGATATATTCCTTTCCCGTCCGGATACATTACTTGCCCGTCCGAACAATCCATTCTAGCTACGAGCTATGATCAAACTTTATCTGGTGTCAGTGGGAAGCACGTTGACTAAAACTATTTTGACTAAAACAACACCTGCCTAATTCTTCAAATTCCGTGTATTTCACATTAAATTGACTAATCAGATCTCTCTAGTTATGATAGTGACGGAGTTATGTTAACAAATATTATTTTAGCAGTTAGCCAAGAATACACAGTAAATTAGCCAATTTTTGTGTGTTGAAAAATTGTAAAAGAATGATGTTAGTGATTGGCATGATGTTAAGATGTAACAAGACAACTGCAGGAGGTGATTTACCGTCATGTCTATCTCCATTCCTGAAATTCCTGGCATTCAGTAAGTGTCAGAACGGCAATCCAGCACACAGTTCTATTTTAGAAATCGAACACGATCTCTCCTGCCAATTACTTTCAAATTTCAAGGCAGATGTATTAGTAAACAATTCAATTCACCAGTTACGAAAGGGGAAAATTCCATTCTAAACAAAAAGGTTATTAACCTCACGCTGTTTCTTAAATTCGAACAGAATCGGTTCGTTTTAAGTGGATTGGTGCTCCCTGTGAAGTCCGCGTCAAACGCAATTCAGGAATGAGATCTCCAATTTATGGTTTTAGACATCATACTACAAGTGTACACGAACATTTCTTGAAATCTGATTGGACATTTCAATTCAACATTTAAAGAATGATGCTCCCTGTGAAGTCCGCGTTTATAGCAATTCGTCTTCTTTGATGCATTGATAATGGGCATTTAAGGGGGAGTAAGCGCAGGCTTCAAAATAAAAATAAAAATGTCAAAATTCTGCCTTATGTGCAAAGCCAGTAATCCTGTTTTTTTTTTAATTTCATTTTCTATAAGCTTTTGTTAATATAGTGAAAATGTGATTTGGGTGGGACTATCACCTTTAACATAACATTCAGCTGAAACACTGCTTTGAAACGACAATTAGGACGCAAAACACCAGTAAAAAATATTTCGGTTTATTTTGAAGTCGTATCTGAAATTTTGACACCATTTTAGCAAGGATTATGTTGTTATTATGAATCTGTTACTCGCAGACACTTGAAGATAAAAATATCTAGGTTAATAGAGGAGTACGGCCTAGTTTTAAATAAATTCAGAAAACTGAATATGATACTACACTGTGTGATAGATAGTTTTACTATTCCTTAGATAGTTCTGATAACTTGGCATGTGAAGTCGGTCAAGGACGAGCCAATCGTATTTCAGAAAATTGGTCATAAAAACACATTTGATGTACGATTACAACTATGTACTTAAAGGGGTTGTTTCTAGCTTTTTAATGTGTATGTGGGTCATTTACGGCTTCTGTTTGCACCATTTTTTCAGACGTCTGAGGTTACTGTTACTTTAAAATGTTTAATCGTATATGACATCACCATTTCAAAATCTGCTAACTAATGTCCTTTGTTTTGCTTCGTCATTAACTGCATCGAACCACAAACGTCTGACTGAAAATTGGAATTGTGTAAATCGATGCTATCAGTTTCCCCAATACATATAGAAAATTTAGAATACATCTTTACAATCCCTTTAAAGTGAACATGTTAATTTATGTGAAGGGTTGTCATTTTCTTATTTCCTATTACAACTGAACTGATATGATCGTTAGATGTGTCACAGATACTAGATATAGAACACAGATAAAAAACACAAAACACTCCTCTTTCTACAGTCAAAATATACATATCTACATTTGTGAACTCTTTAAAACGGGTGAATAGTAAAGTTGAGAAACCGGAATACGCAGATTAGCCTTTTGGTCACATTAACTTTAGTGAACTCCCAAAAACAAAAAGGAAAAGGGTGAAAAGGGTACATAGTCAAGAGGAATCCAAAAATAATATCAACGCTATAAGCTGACAGGGACTCAATGTGGGGGGATTTTATTCTCGAATATATGTTAAATCTTCAGAAGTAGTAGAAATGTACGAAAATCACATATTTCTTTAAAAAATACTTCAAACTAAGAATTTTACTCACTATTTCTAAATATGTCTTTTCTATATCACAGAGTATCTTAAATTGAAGAGTCGTCATTTTAGCATTCAAACGCAGATAATTCTGGACACACATGGATTTGAAGGCTCAAATTTCGACGATAGGCTGTGAACACTATTACTGATTAGGTCGGCTAAAAAATTCCAAAAATGACACACCAGTCCCTTTAATAATATTTGTGAAAAAAAGGTTAAGCAGAAAAGAGTGCCAAATTGATAACAATTCTAATGTGGACTCTCTGAAATAATGTCAAGTTGAAAGGTTGAGTAATTAGAGCTGAAATATCGCTTGTGACACCTAATAGCTATTGCCAAACATTTTTCCACTGTGTTTTTTAATGTTTTCTGATTTTTATCCAAAGATCCCAAGCAGATTTTCTCTTCTGCTAACTTCAGATTATCTACAGTTTAAAGTGTACAGAACCCGGATTTACGAACATTTAATTATTAACACACATTTTGTTTATTCAAATTAAACAAGTTAAAACTAATATGTGCCTGTACATTGGTAACCTTTTTCATTAGTACAAACTTACACCCTTTCTCGCTAACAGGATATTTTATGGCTCGGGCTTAAAGCACAAAGTAAAACATTAACCCTAGAGGCTAGTATTGCTAGTGGTAGTCGTGACGCCCCTCGTCTAGCACTTTATAGAAACGACACTGTTGTGATACCAGAACTGCCAGTATTTTAGGGTATAAAATTCTAGAAAAGAACCTCGGGGATTCTCCTGCTCTGTGTCATTTCTGATATCCCCACTGTCAATCCGCCAATAAACAGCTTTCAGCAAAAAGGCTAGAGATGGACCTCGTCCTGCCTCGTTAGAAACTACAGCTTCAGCTATACACGTGTTTAAATTGCGTCTTATTTTTCTACAAGACTTTTTATTGATGGCATAAAAAATGGTGCTAATAGGAAAAGAAGTTTTATTTCTTTGAAACCCGTGTATTGATTTGTCTGTGTCAGTCAGAAATAGTCCACTTGACCTCATTTCATCACCTTGAAAAATGGGTCGGGGTTGTTTTCATGGTAGAACAATAAGTGAACTGAGTTTTACGTCCTATTTTGCCGCTCTCGGTTTAGATAATGAAATGAAATGGGGTTCTACATCCATCTGTACTCTGTACCTGGTGAAGTAGACGGACACAATCAAACAGAAATAGACGACACATCATTGCTCTTCCAGGAATTACAATCAAATGGATTTTTACGTCCTACTGTATACTCTAAATATGGCTCAAGAAGGCCGGACTCGAGAAAAATTGAAAATTTTTGCTTTTAAATTGGTAAATTCAAATTTGACATCGGCATCATAAATTCAGTGGAACTGACCCAATTTTATAATCGGATTCCAGTAATTACACAAAAACAGTTTATGATCTATCTAACTCAAGGTTTTTCTAGAATTACAGGACCACTGACATATGTAAAGGGGAAAGAATCAGAATGAGGCAAATAGTGCTCTGATACACATAAAAAGACTTGAAATTCAGGCCGATACAAATAGGTTTAATAGGTCCCATTATCATACCCATTCTAGAAATCCTCTTTGAATTCCTTTCAGAACCTAGAGATTGAATTATTCAAAGGCAGAATTCTACTACTGTTCTCAGTATTATACTGACGGCAAGATTTCAACCATTCGTTGTATTTTTAGAAGCCTTAAGAAGAACTTCTCAAATTAGCTACTTGTGTGCAGAGATTATACGTTTTCGTTCCAAAGTCCAAGATTTTAATTTAATGGAATTATTCCTGATAATCCGACTTTTAGAATACCAGAATAGTAGGCCTACTTTAATGGAATTATTCCTGAAAATCCGACTTTCAGAATACCAAAATAGTAATTTAATGGAATTATTCCTGCAAATCGTCCCGCTTTTCGAATAAACTAAACTATAAATATTTACCTGCGGTGCCTATCATACATGTTGAAAGAACAGTCATTAAGAATAGACCCCTCATTTTGAAGTGCCAGATATTACATCCAGTAAGTCTATAACACTATACATCTATTAATATCTTTTTACACTAAATTCTATCATCTAAACTCCTGATGATTTCAATTTGGCGTCAAAATCTCACAAATTCAATAGATTTTACCACTTTACGTCTATTAATCAACAAAATTCCACCAGAAATTCCTCTCAAGTTCCAGGAATCCCAAGAATGCTGCAGATTTTGAATTCACCTTGCTTTAAAATCACCGAACTGTAAACGATCGAATTTGTTTCCAATTCACCCAAATCAAGTAAATATAACCTCACTGTCGTAAGTTCACCAAATTCGATTCTAATTCCATTTGATTAGATTATCCTATCTTGAAATCACCCAAGTTCTATGCACTTTGGTTTAAAATCACCCAAGTTCAATACACTTTGGTTTAAAATCACCCAAGTTTAATACACTTTGGTTTAAAATCACCCAAGTTCAATACACTTCGGTTTGAAATCACCAATGTTCGATCGATATGAATACACTATTTTTTGAATTCACCACAACTCAATCCAAATTCCATGTAATTTACATTAACTACGTTTCAATTCACTCAAATACCAAGCGTTTCAATTTACTTTGTATTTACTGTTTGTTTTTTCAATTTCAGTCTATCCCAATTCATTATGTTTTACAAATCACTGAAATCCTGTAGAATATGTTTCGATATCAGCCAGAATTCCAACAGATTCCTATAAACCAGAAACAGAATTCCACAAAATGTCGATGACTTGAATAGAAGTAAACCTAAATACACCGAGCCAGCTGATCGCTATACTAAGATTCTATATAAACAGCTGATAGTTACCGAATAGTTGTATACCTAACTCGCTAAGTAAATGAGTACATATCATTTCATATACATGGTTTATACCTACTAGAATAAAAACGTTGGTGTTACCTCAAGCGGCAACTCGAGTCAAACCCGACTATTAAAAATGTCAATCAAAAAGAACTGACCAATATAAAACTAGCTTTCTGTTTTTATTTCTAGGTAGTTTGTGGGTAGAACAAATGAAACGTTACATTCCTTTCTAGTTTGTGTTTTTCTTTACTTGTTTATTACCGGAAAACCTTCATTTGAACCTATTATTAGGCTAATATGACATGAATTACATCAAGACACAGAACAACTTGGATCTATAATTAGACTGGAAGAAAATAAGCCTCGTAATAGTTCAAATTACATCCACATTCTATATAACAACAAATAAATTGATTTCTAGTTCATTTTCTTGTCTTTATTTCTAAACGTAATCAGTGCAAATACACCCACGCATTCACGTCAACTTGCCCAAGCTATGTGGATGTGTAGTTGAGAACCCCAGTGGAAAAGTGGTCTCAAGAGATCTGAAAGTTTGCCCATCACTTCTTCTCATTATGTGCCTGAGGACAACGGGGGAAACACGTCGAAACGTTGCATAAAACTTTAACCAGTGATTGTTGTTCCATAAAGCGGTGTCTATATATCTGAAAGAGTTAGCACATACAGAAAATACAACGTTACCAAATAACCTTGCTCAATTAGAATAAATTCTTATGTGTTTATTACCATAAAAAGAAGTGTAGTTGACAACATCAGTGGAAAAGTGGTCCCATGAGATCTGAAAGAGTTAACAGATACAGTTAAACCCACGTCCTCAAGTCAGTCATTCCAATCAGATAATGATGTCTTGACTACCATAAAGGGATGTGTGGATGACAAGTCAAGTCGGGGCGTGGCACCAGATGTACTGAAAGGGCCAATTCGCCCACGCTATTGTAATAAACTTGCTCAATTAAAATCAATAGCTAGGTGGACTATCTTATGAGGAATGTCTACTTGCCAACCACATTCCTATAGTAGCAATAAGTGCTCAGGAAGAGTGGAGTTGTAAACCAAGATTTGGAGGGAGAGGGGCTTTGGAGGTGGGTGGGTGGGATGCCTATTTTAACACTGAAACACTATGACTGGGAGGAAATACAGAGTTGAAAAATCAGAGAGAATCTATCATTCCGAACGATGCCACAATCTACATCAATACTTTCAACGAGCAAGGATCTTTGGGACTCTGCTTGTGAAGCATATCTCAATCCAGATGTATCTCGACTTATCTTATTATTTTGACACTCCAATAACAAAAATAGAGCACGAGTGACAATAATATTATGGTGAACGAAATTTGACTCTTCATTTCCCCTTTCTTGGTCAAGGTGAAACATTGACATGAAACGTAATACGTTATAGGATGGTAAATGCAGTTTACTAGTATATCTAGTGTAAGGCCCCTAAGCTACAAGGGAACAAAAAAGGGGCATGGGGAGGGGGGTGTATTGCCCCTCTGAAATAATACCGACAACCGACCAATTCCATTGCTGCAACTAACCACCATGCACCATTGCCCCGGAGGTGGGGGCAGAGCCCCGAAAGCAAGTTTTTCGGGCAAAAATCTCATAACTAGGTTAGAAATTCGGGCAAGGCGATAATAGTGAACTTGGGGTATTGGGACTCTCACAAGCATCCAACGACATATAATTATCAGATGCTGGGTAAAATTCAGCTCAAAAATAGGTCAAATATTGAACAAATGGTGGTCGTGGGTTCTAATCTCGGTCGCAGAGTAGGGTGACCTAGTCTAAGTCCTTTTTCCTCATTATTACAGCAGACCCAGCTGTGAATAGTAACAGAGAATCCAGGAAAGGTCGAAGCAAAGATGTTGGTCTAGGAATAGTTGGTAGATATGATCAGATAAGTTGTTATTCTAGTTGTTCTGGTATGTACATGAAAATGAAATTGATACAAATGAATATTGTACTATAAATAATGTATAACTGTTACACCGACTGACTCGGAACAGGTGATTAGATTGAAACAGGGCGAGGCTAGAAATTCTTTACATCATAACATATCTCTGATAATCTTACATATACATGGATTATAGTCGTCTAAATATTTCCGTGCCAGCTGATAGAGCTCAATTGCAGCTATCAGAATAGTCATCTTAATATTTACTTTACCAGCTGATAGAGCTCAATTTCAGCTATCTGTATTGTCATCTGAATATTTACTTTACCAGCTGATAGAGTTCAATATCAGCTATCTGTATAGTCATCTAAATATTTACTTTACCAGCTGATAGAGCTCAATTTCAGCTATATGTATAGTTATCTAAATATTTACTTTACCAGCTGATAGAACTCAATTTCAGCTATATGTATAGTTATCTAAATATTTGCTTTACCAGCTGATAGAACTCAATTTCAGCTATCTGTATAGTTATACCAGCTGATAGAACTCAATTTCAGCTATCTGTATAGTTATCTAAATATTTGCTTTACCAGCTGATAGAACTCAATTTCAGCTATATGTATAGTCTTCTAAATATTTACTTTACCAGCTGATAGAACTCAATTTCAGCTATCTGTATAGTTATCTAAATATTTGCTTTACCAGCTGATAGAACTCAATTTCAGCTATCTGTATAGTCATCTATATATTTACTATACCAGCTGATAGAGCTCAATTTCAGCTATATGTATAGTTATCTAAATATTTACTTTACCAGCTGATAGAACTCAATTTCAGCTATATGTAAAGTTATCTAAATATTTACTTTACCAGCTGATAGAACTCAATTTCAGCTATCTGTAAAGTTATCTAAATATTTGCTTTACCAGCTGATAGAACTCAATTTCAGCTATATGTAAAGTTATCTAAATATTTACTTTACCAGCTGATAGAACTCAATTTCAGCTATCTGTATAGTCATCTATATATTTACTATACCAGCTGATAGAGCTCAATTTCAGCTATCTGTATAATCATCTAAATATTTACTTTACCAGCTGATAGAACTCAATTTAAGCTATATGTATAGTCTTCTGTATATTATCTTTATCGGCTGATAGAACTATATTTCAGCTCTCTGTATAGTCATCTAGATATTTACTTTACCAGCTGATAGAGCTCAATTTCAGCTATCTGTATAGTCATCTAAATATTTACTTTACCAGCTGATAGAACTCAATTTCAGCTATCTGTATAGTTATCTAAATATTTACTTTACCAGCTGATAGAACTCAATTTCAGCTATCTGTATAGTTATCTAAATATTTACTTTACCAGCTGATAGAACTCAATTTAAGCTATCTGTATAGTCATCTAAATATTTACTTTACCAGCTGATAGAACTCAATTTCAGCTATATGTATAGTCATCTAAATATTTACTTTACCAGCTGATAGAACTCAATTTCAGCTATATGTATAGTTATCTAAATATTTACTTTACCAGCTGATAGAGCTCAATTTCAGCTATATGTATAGTTATCTAAATATTTACTTTACCAGCTGATAGAACTCAATTTCAGCTATCTGTATAGTTATCTAAATATTTACTTTACCAGCTGATAGAGCTCAATTTCAGCTATCTGTATAGTCATCTAAATATTTACTTTACCAGCTGATAGAGCTCAATTTCAGCTATATGTATAGTTATCTAAATATTTGCTTTACCAGCTGATAGAACTCAATTTCAGCTATATGTATAGTCATCTAAATATTTACTTTACCAGCTGATAGAACTCAATTTCAGCTATCTGTATAGTTATCTAAATATTTGCTTTACCAGCTGATAGAACTCAATTTCAGCTATATGTATAGTCATCTAAATATTTACTTTACCAGCTGATAGAACTCAATTTCAGCTATATGTATAGTTATCTAAATATTTGCTTTACCAGCTGATAGAACTCAATTTCAGCTATCTGTATAGTTATCTAAATATTTGCTTTACCAGCTGATAGAACTCAATTTCAGCTATATGTATAGTCTTCTAAATATTTACTTTACCAGCTGATAGAACTCAATTTCAGCTATCTGTATAGTTATCTAAATATTTGCTTTACCAGCTGATAGAACTCAATTTCAGCTATCTGTATAGTCATCTATATATTTACTATACCAGCTGATAGAGCTCAATTTCAGCTATA